GCGCATCCGCATGTGCCGCATCGGCTCCCTCATGCCACAACCCCCCACAGCCCACATCGCACCCCCTAATCGCTTTTGATGGATGATGCCTTCATTGATGCATGATGGGTGAGCCCGCCACGCGGCTGCCTGGCGAGGTGCCTCGGGCCTCGGCTGGCAGCTCCCCGCTCCTCGACGCTCGAGAGCGACTCGGGTCGGGGGGGAGGTCGAGACACGAGAGAGTCGAAAGCTCGAGCGAGAGTGACCGTGTGTGTTACGCTCAACGCTCTACGCTGCCCGCGGGGGGCGCGGGCTCGCGGTGACGTGTGCCTCGTGCGGGTGTGTGTGTGGCAGGCGTGCGTGGAGAGAGAGGTCCAACCGGACCAACGGCCGGCACGCAGGAGCTGCCGCACATGTCATGGCCGGATGCGTCAGAGTGGAGTGTCCGCATAGTCGAGTGCCGCACCTCTCTGGACTCTGCAGACTGCACTCTCGACTCGCACGTCTGGCAGCGTGACCTAGAGAGATACTCCACACGCACGCACGCACACGGGCCTCACGGCTCGGACGACGGCCTCCGCACACGCGTTTTGAAGAGATGCAGAGCTGCTAGCATTCCACTCTTCCATTCCTCCTCTCTGCGTACGCGAGCACCTCCGCCGCGCCGAGCACGTCCTGCAGCAGCAGGCAGGCGGCGGCGGCGTGGCCCCAGTGCTGGCGGCGGGCGCTGTGCCGGCCCGGCCCGAGGGCGAGCCGGGTGGTCCACGTCTCGTCCCACAGCAGGAGGCGCAGCCCGGTCGGCGCCGCCTCTCTCAGCCTCTCCGCCGCCGCCTCGACCAGCTCGCACTCTCGCGAGCGGCGGCCGTCGGCGAGGTACGGCATGCCGAGCACGACCCCTCCGGCGTCGAGCTCCGCCGCCAGCGAGCAGATCGCCGCGGCCTGCGTCGCGAAGCGGGACGGGCCGCTGCTCTCCCGCCGCTCGCGCGAGATCACCCACGCGTCGGCGCCGGGCGGCTGCGCCCATCAAAGGGACTGCTGCAGAAGAAGCCCGACCGGCACTTGCAAGAAACATGTGGCCGGGAGCACTTAGAGCGCAGTCGGTAACCTCACATCCAGGGCCGGGGGGCTAAGAAGCTCACCCAGCGGTCCGCATGACGCACAGAGTGATTCTTTTTTACACGTGGGCGGGTGCACGGAGCTAAGTGCCTCGCCACCCTCGCAGGAGTCGCTTAGGCGGCTCCCGTGGTGTACCTGTGTTAGTGCCAGTGCGAGCCAGTCCCGTGCCCAGTCCTGTGCCCAGTGTTGTGCGAGGGAGTTTTGTTGTAAAATTCTTTTTTAGCGGCCCAGGAAGCTTGTTGGCCGCGCGCGGTGGGAACGAGGAAATCGGCTGTGGTGCCCACCCCTTATCCGATGTCCCAATTCCACGCCGAACGGAAGGACGAGGGCGAGCTCCGCTCCACGGCAGAGGTCGCCGCCGGCCAATCTCTCTGCCCTGCGCGGACGCGCGGCGCCGCCCTCACACCGGCGCGCGGTCTCAGGTCTTCTCGAGCGTGCGGCAGCAGGCCGACCAAATCGGGAAGCGCTTCGCCAGCGGCGGCCGTTACACGGAGGAGCAGTTCAAGGCGGGTGCGGACGTGAAGGACGGGCCGGAGCCGGCGGCGGAGGAGGGCGGTGGCGGCGAGGAGGCCAAGTCGGACGCAGTCAGCACCAACTTTGACCCAGACGACAACCGCACGCTGTACGACCGGCTCAAGGAGCAGCGCGACGCGAAGCAGGAGGAGTGGGAGGCGGCGCACCAGTTCAAGAACCAGATGGACCACTGGCGGCTCGACGAGGACGACGCCGCCTTCGAGGAGGAGCGAGTCGACCGCCTCAACGCGCAGCGGAGGGAGGCGGAGCGGATGAACCAGGAGAGTGCAGAGTTCTACAAGCTCGCGCGGGAGCGACGCACCACGCAGGTGGCGCCCGTCTCGGTTGCCT